AAGACAATGTGTATCTAATATGTTTTTAGCTCACATAAAATCCTGACAGTGCAAAACCATGTGAAAGAGTTGCGTAAATCAGATCATCTCCATTAGAAATATTCTGACAAATTTCAATTTCACTAGAATAAATATACTGGCATTTAAAGGAATGAAAGGAATGGGTCATATAATTCAAGTTCACTGGTCATGTTTGCAGATTTCAATACTGCCTCCATTGTAGTTACAGTTCTTTTGCTTGTTTGTTTTTAAGACAGGGTCTTGCTATGTCACTCAGGCCAGAGTGCAGTGGCATGATCACAGCTCATTGCAAGCTCAAACTCCTGGATACAAGAGATCCTCCTGCCTCAGCCTCTGTGAAGCTGGGACTACAGACACATGCCACCATGATTAGTTAACTTTTTCTATTTTTAATAGAGAGATGGTCTCACTGTGTTGTCCAGGCTGGTCTTGAACTCCTGGCCTCAAGTGATCCTCCCTCCTTGGCCACCCAAAGTGCCTGGATTATAAGTGTGAGCCACCAGGCCCAGCTGTAATTACAATTCTTGTTAACATTCTATGAGGCAAAACAACATTCAAACCTGTTAGGACAATGTGGAATTCTCAAGGGTTGTTAAATAGTGTCAGTGAAAGCTACCTACACAGAGGCTGGTTAATAATGGTGTTTCTGGGGCTCAGTTACTGAAGATAAAGTGAAACGTCTTATTCAATGACATGCTGGAGCCGACCACAACTTTTGCCAGCTCTTGAGTTTGGAGATAGCATATTGGTAGCTCAAAATTAGCCTTGGTGGAAGTATTTACACCACCCAAATCAGCAAATGCTATAAATCAGTGCTTTTTCTTTTTCTTTCTCTTTTCAGAGAAAATTGATTGTTAAACATTTATCACCTCACCACTGACGACATTCCTAATCTCTCTGGTTAAAGCTCATGGCCCATAAAACCATTCCAAAGGTCTAGCAGAAACCATACATTGCTCTTCTAAGCTCTGTCCGCACATGAATATCCCATCAACACCTCAAATTTGACAAAATGTGTCCTCCCTCAAACTCCTAATGAAAAGCATCACATTTACTGGCCACACACTTGGAAACCATGCTCGATAACTCCTACTCCTTCTTCAGATTCCATCTCATCTTAATGCCTCAAAATTTCTCTAATTAAACCTTCCTCTCCAGCCTCGTTAGTGGGGTGCTCTTTGTCCCTTCCCTGTCCCTGCTCTTGGTCACTCTAATCCATAGTCTACCATACTGCTGGGCTGAACATTTTTGTTTTTGAGACAGGATCTCACTCTGTTATCCAGGATGGAATGCAGTGGTGCAATTATACCGCACTGTAGCCTCAACCTCCTGAGCTCCAATGATCCTCCCACCTCAGCCTCCCAAGTGCCTAGGACTACAGGCATGAACCACATGCCAAGCTAACATTTTGCATTTTTTGTAGAAGTGAAGTTTCACCTTGTTGCCAAGGCTGGTCTCAAACTCCTGGGCTCAAGTGATCCTCCCACCTCAGCTTCTCAAAGTGCTGGGATTACAGGGGTGAGCCACTGTGCCCAGCTGGGCTGAATACTTTTATTTATTTATTTATTTTGAGACAGAGTCTTACTCTGTCACCCAGGCTGGAGTGCACTGGTGCAGTCTTGGCTCACTGCCACCTCCCCCTCCCAAGTGATGGACTAAATACTTTTAAAAGCATGAAGGAGTACTCCACTCTCCTGATTGACAGGCTTCAGTTACTCACCATCAACTCAGAAATAAAGTACACATCCCTGGGCACAGTAGAAAGGCCTTTTAGCATCTGACTTTCATCCACCCTCCACGTTCGCCTCTTACCAATCACTCCCTCGCTGCCAACCCCTCACTATTGTTTGCCAAACACACCAGACTCTCGCCCTTGCGCCTCTAATTCATCCTAAGACTCAACAGAGGCACTATCTACACACCAGCCTTCTCATATGCATGTCTCCAGCCTAGCACTCCACACACCCAGGTTTTAAATGGGCATAACAGCCTATCTCCTCATCCAGGCTTTGAGCCTCTTGAGGGTATTTTGTTGAAAAATAGTAAGTTTATGAATATTGATGAATGCTGAGTGTATCAGAGAATATATTGTTTGCTAGGAAGAACAGTGGCAAGGAAAACCTAGCCAACCACTTGGGGCATTTCAAAGTGGCAGGACAATGTATAAATATCATACACCGGTTAAAACAATTCTTTGAGATATCTGACCCTGCCCTTATGGCTCCCTGGTGGAGAATACCTTTTAGTTTGTCTGTAGTTAGTGGTAAGTGGGCAACAGCTGCCTATTTGGTATATTTTTGAGTTATGAGAAAATATAGAACACCTGTTCATTAATCACCTGCTAAGAGAGAATAAATACGTGGATCAGAATCTGCTCAGGGCCTTCAGCCTGGAATGCTGTCAGCCCCTGAGGCTCTCAGTTTGGAAGGCTGCTGGTCCCCCGGATAGACCCACTTTACTGTTCTATCTGGGTGTCTGCCTCTCATTGCCTTCAGCACTGCCTGTGGGGGGTGGAGGGAAGGGGGTCCCTCCAGCCAAGCTGGTTCTCCATAGTATTTAATTTTTTTTACTCCTAATACCTAGTGCTTTACTCCTAATACCTTTACAGAGAGGCTACTCCAATTTGCAAAACAGGACTAGTACCATTTGTACCCAAGAAGGTTGTTAGAAAGATTAAATGAGATAATGTATGCAAAGTATCTGCAGTAAGATTCATGGCACAAAATACTGGTTCACTTGCTCTGGAAAAGACCCCTGATTGAAGAAGAACCGTATCTCCATTATAATCCTGTACTTTCATGTAGCAATCTGTAATTTAGAAAGTTCATCCACCATCCCAATGGAGGTAGGAGGGAGTCTGATGAAAATGTTTCAATTACTGTATCTTTGAATTCAAAGAGGTTTTTTCCCCCCAGTTCCTTTCCCTGGTCTAGCATTTGTTTATCTGTGAGATCACTAGGCATGATGGGGTCCATGCAGCTGATCTTTAAAATAAAGACTATACATTCTCTATTCACACGATGTTTCAAACTTCTTTTTTAAAGCAGCAGCTTTCCTCTCTCCCCAAATGCCATCTTATCAGATGTCAGATTGAACACGGTGACTAAAGGCAGTGTTGACCTGAGTGAAGCAGTGTCTGGAACCATCTACCAGGCTTCCACTTGCTGGGCAGTCCCCTGCAGAACCCAGAGGCTCTGAGGAACACACATTTCAAAGCAATCCCTCATTTCACAGATGGGAAAACCAAGGCCCAGAAAGGTACAAGACCTCGCCCAAGGTTCTGGAATTCAGTAAGGCCAAGCCTAAGATCTAAGACTCTTTCCACCACATCATACGGCCTCTTCGGGGTCAAGGGCACAGTTGGTGACCTCAGGATAAAAGGTTGACATTTCCTACGCATGTCCATTTGTCATCCATAAATACTCAACTGTACAAATCTAAGATAGGCAACTGGAAATGGTAATACATTTAATCTGTTTCCACTTGATAAAGGTCAAATAAACTGGGGACAGTGGCTCACGCCTGTAATCCCAGCACTTTGGGAGGCTGAGGTGGGTGGATCACCTGAGGTCAGAAATTCGAGATCAGCCTGACCAATATGGTGAAACCCCATCTTTAAAAAAAAAAAAAAGGTCAAATAGAAGAGTATCAATAGCCAGTCTTCCCTTAAGGGGATAAACATCATATTCTCTGGCTGCCAATAGAGAAACCACCCACCCATAAGGGGAATTTATCAGTTTCTGGAACAAAAATAAATGAAGTCAAATAACTGCCTTCCAGATTATTCTAGAAGTACAGAGTAAATAGATCCATTACTGCCAGGTTAATGAAGGACCTACTGGTAAAGAGTGCTCCTGCCACTCACACCCATTTTTCCCTTCTTCCTTAATTACAGACCCCTGATTTTATTCAGCGTATCCCAGCTAAAAGACTATCTTTCCCAGCCTTCCCTAAGATAGTTATGACCCTACAACTAAGTTCTGGCCAATGTAAATAGCCATTGGGTAGAATTTCTGGTAGGATTTAAAACCCTTTAGAGGGACATGGCCATTTGCCATTTTTTCTTTATATTCTCCTTTTCAGAGCCTGGAACTTGGATGTGATGGCTGCAGTGACAGCAGCTATCTTGTTATTTTGAGGATGATAGCCTTGTACTGTTGCGCTAAGGATGACAGGGCCCATAAAGAGAAAGAGCTTCAGTTCCTGATAACATCAGAAGAAGCCCTCAAAATAGGCCTTTAACTGTCTACCTCTGACTTTTTTTTTTTTTTTTAAGTTGGAGTCTTACTTACTCTGTTGCCCAGGCTAGAGTGCAGTGGTGCAATCATAGCTCACTGCAGGCTTGATCTCCCAGGCTCAAGCAATCCTCCTGCCTCAGCCTCCTAAGTAGTTGGTACTACAGGTATGCAACGTTATGCTTGGCTAATTTTTTAAAATTATTTTTGTAGGGGTGGGGTCTTGCTACGTTGCCTAGGCTGATCCTAAACTCCTGGGCTCAAGTGGTCCTCCCACTTCAGCCTCCCAAAGTGCTGGGATCACAGGTATGAGCCACTGTATGTGAGAGAATCAACCCTTATAACATCTGCGAGAATGTTATGTGAGAGATTAAACCCTTATAAACATGATTTTATAGTAGTTAGACTCCCTTTGCCAGCAGCCAAATACAATCCCTAACTTTTACAGACCTTGACCTCATTGGCAGAAGCTACAGAAGCCATGCAGAGATACTCAGGGAGATGGGGTGACTCTGGAAAAGGAAGCAACTCGTGACATGTCCTCCCAAACTCATCAGATTTTCCAGAATAATTCCAGAGGAGGTTAGAGAAGGCCAAACATACAATCAGATGATCAGAAGCCTGACTTACCAAAGTCTGGCAGAAAGAATAAGCCTGTGAAAGCAGGTGTCAGAGTGACCAGGTTAGTGACCCTGCCTGGCTTCCTCTATTGTAACTGACCAGGAGAGGGACCCCTTTTTATACCTCTTCCAGGTTGCAGAATTCCTGACGCAGGGCTGCCTTCAGGCCAGTGCATTCTCTCCCACATCTCAACGCTACCAGGCAGTTCTTGGTTAATTGTGGGACCTAATCAGAGGATACAGGTTCTCAGTGGAGAAGTCTTCGGAAACTTTATGTTCCTGCTCTGCCTGAACAGGCAGCAAAGCTTTATAACTCCAGCCAGCATCCACATACAGAACGCCCCCTGCCCCAAGCTCCCTGTGAGGGGCACTAGGTTACCTCTGTGGTTCCGGGAATCTACTTCTCAGTAGGAATGTACTTCTCTTTTTTTTTTTTTTTTTTTTTTTGAGACAGAGTTTTGCTCTTGTTACCCAGGCTGGAGTGCAATGGCACAGTCTTGGCTCACCACAACCTCCCCCTCCTGGGTTCAAGCAATTCTCCTACCTCAGCCTCCCAAGTAGCTGGGACTACAGGCTGCGCCACCACACCCAGCTAATTTTTGTATTTTTTTAGTAGAGACGGCGTTTCACCATGTTGACCAGGATGGTCTCGATCTCTTGACCTCGTGATCCACCCGCCTCGGCCTCCCAAAGTGCTGGGATTACAGGCTTGAGCCACCGCGCCCAGCCAGGAATGTACTTCTCATAGTACCCTGGGAAAACAGGGTGCTTCAGGAGGGTTTCTGCAGTGCTCCTTAGCTGCTTGCATGTTATACATTCTTAGGCGGGACACTCAGCCTCTCTAAGACTCAGTGTCCTCATCTGAAAAGTAGATACGATAGCGGTACCCACTTCAAAGGGCAGTTGGATTAAAGGAGTTAGCCCCTACAAAGTAATTAGGACAGTACCCGGTACATCATAAGTACTCGATATAGGTCAGCTGTTAACATCATTGAGGTTTTTAAAAATTCCTTTTCAAAGACACCATCTTAAAATTTCTCCATTTTTTTTCATTATCGAAGCCATCACCATTTCTGTATTCTTCACATTTTCTGGACAGCAGGCACTCTTATACTTCTAAAGAGCATCACCGGCTGGGCGCAGTGGCTCACATCTGTAATCCTAGCACTTTGGGAGGTCAATGCAGGCAGAACACTTGAGGTCAGGAGTCCAAGACCAGCCTGGCCAATATGGTGAAACCCCATCTCTACTAAAAATACAAAAATTAGCTGGGTGTGGTGGCATGCACCTGTAATCCCAGCTACGTGGGATGCTGAGGCAGGAGAATTGCTTAAACCCAGAAGGCAGAGGTTGCAGTGAGTGAGATTACACCACTGCACTCCAGCCTGGGTGACAGAGCAACACTCTGTCTCAAAAAAAAAAAAAAAAAAGCATCACCTTCTAGGTGTAATATTTACACTCCATTACTTTTTACCTGAAGACAGAGAAATATTCCCTTTAAGAATCACCAGTTTTTGGTTCTTTCTATATTCCTGCTTCAAGTCACATGGAGATTGCCATGTCATAACCATACCTCCTGAGATTGCCAGTTGAAATGGAGAAGTACCTAGCAGTTAAGCCTTTAACTTTAATATCAGTGGCCATACTCTACCCTAATTCCATGCTAGGTAATCTCCTGAGGCTTACATGGTATCAAAACAAAACAGTTCACCATTGCTTGGCTTTAAAATGGATTGAGGTCTGGGAAAAACATACAAAGTAAAATAGAGTGTGAGTGGATTCTTAAATTGAATATACCTTATGAAATAGCTCCAACAACATCTTTTGCCAAGCTCGTTGATAAGGGTCATATGGAAACAGCTTCCTTCCTGGATAAGCGTCATCCAGGTACTCACAAGTGATAACAGAGTCATAGATCAGTTGACATTGGCTAGTCTCCAGGACAGGAATTTGGCCAAAAGGGTGCTTTGTGTAGTACCATTCAGGCTTGTTTTTCAGGTTAATGTTGACAACTTCATGTCTTCAAAAGCAAAAAGAAAACAAGACAGAACAAAAATGAGCGGCATCTGTGGGCAGGCACTCTGCTTGAAAGCAGAAGCAATCAGTTTAAAGGTTAAAATTTGCAATTAAGATTTTTAAAGTTTAAGTTTCGTATAAAATACATCATATCATCATCTTCCTTCCTTCCTGCCAGTAAGATGTGTTGGATGTTCTCTATGCCTTGTCTCAGTTGTTCCACATTAATTCCCCAAGAAGTAGGCTCACCTCATAGGAAAGAAGGCTCAAGGAGGTTGAATCTCACACCCAGTACCACCCACTAAGAAGTAGCAGAGCCGGCCAGGCACTGTGGCTCATGCCTGTAATCCCAGCACTTTGGGAAGCTGAGGCAGGCGGCTCATCTGAGGTCAGGAGTTCAAGACCAGCCTGGCCAACATGGCGAAACCCCGTCTCTACTAAAATATACAAAAAATTAGCTGGGCATGGTGGCAGGTGCCTTTAACCCCAGCTACTTGGAGGCTGAGGCAGAAGAATCACTTGAACATGGGATATGGATGTTGCAGTGAGCTGAGATCATGCCACTGCACTCCAGCCTGGGCAAGAGAGGCTCCATCTCAAAAGAAGAAAGAAGAAAGAGAAAGAAGAGGAGGAGGAGGAGGAGAAGAAGGAGAAAGAAGAGGAAGAGGAAGAAGAAGAATCATCAAGTAGTAGAGCCAAGATCAGAGCAAGGCAGACAGATTCAGAGCTCATGCACTTCACCATGGCATGAGAGAGTTTAGCACATTTTACAGCTTGAAAATACAGAATATGGCAAATTTTTTTTTTTTTTTTTTTTTTGAGACGGAGTTTCGCTCTTGTTACCCAGGCTGGAGTGCAATGGCGCGATCTCGGCTCACCGCAACCTCCGCCTCCTGGGTTCAGGCAATTCTCCTGCCTCAGCCTCCTGAGTAGCTCGGATTACAGACACGAGCCACCATGCCCAGCTAATTTCTTGTATTTTTAGTAGAGACGGGGTTTCACCATGTTGACCAGGATGGTCTCGATCTCTCGACCTCGTGATCCACCCGCCTCGGCCTCCCAAAGTGCTGGGATTACAGGCTTGAGCCACCACGCCCGGCCTCCAGAATATGGCAAATATTAACAATTAAGAGCATGAGTTCTGGCATCAGACTGGGCAGTCTAGCTTGGAACCTTAACCAAATTCCTAACCTCTCTGTGTTCAGTGTTCTCAGTTATAAAATGGGGGCTAATAATTATACCCATCTCTTGGTCCTGTTGTGATGATCAAGTAAGTGAATATGTATAAAGTGTTTAAGACAGTGCCTAGCACATAAGCATGCAGTAACTTTTTAATTCTTCTTCTAATTATTAGATGTTCAAATAATATCATTATTATTTAGATGTTCACATAATACTATTATTATTTAGGTAACTATAAAGTTGCCAGAAGCATGAACATATGTTTAAAAAGTTGAAAGGAGCTGGGTGTGGTGACACGCCTGTTATCCCAGCACGCCAGGAGGCACTGAGGAAGGTGGATCATTTGAGGTCAGAAGTTCAAGACCAGTCTGGCCAACCTGGTGAAACCCTGTCTCTACTAAAAATACAAAAAAAAAAAAAGTGAGCCGGGCATAGTGGCACCCACCTGTAATCCCAGCTACTGGGGAGGGCGAGGGCGAGGCACAAGAATCACTTTAACCCAGGAGGTAGAGGTTGCAGTGAGCCAAGATCACACCACTGCACTCTAGCCTTGGTGGCAGAGTGAGACACTGTCTCAAAGAAAAAAAAAAAGAAAGAAAGAAAGAAAAAGAAAAAAGAAGATGAAAGGAAACAAATGGGAACATCTGTTGCTCAGTCTAGGAGATTGTCTTAAAAACCTAGAGCAGAGGCTGGACACAGTGGCTCACACCTATAATCTCAGCACTTTGAGAGGCCAAGGTGGGAGGATTGCTTGAGCCCAAGAGTTCAAGACCAGTGTAGGCCACATAGCAAGACCTAAAAAACCTAAAGCGGTAGGTCTCAACCAGAAGTGATTTTTGCCTTCCTTCCCCAGGGACGTATCAGAATGTCTGGAGACATTGTTTTGTTGTCACAACTGGAGGTGGGGATAGGGAAGAGCGACTCTGCTGTCATTGAATGGGTAGAGATCAAGGAGACTGCTAAACATCCAGTGATACAAAGGGCAGGTTCTATCCCATCTCTCCAGTGAAGAATTATCTGGCCCAAATTGTCAGCAGTGCCAAGGTTGAGAAACCCTGCCCTAAAGAAATGCATCAGCTCCTAAGCTGATAACTTACCACCAAATGGGGAAAACATCCAGTTATTGCTATTTTCCTCAAAAAAAGTAACCTTGAGTCAACTTAATTTAAGCAAAAGGGAAGAATCTGGAAATACATGCCCTACATACTCAACAAGTCAGATTTACATAATTTTATTTAAAATATCTCTTTATTGTCTTTGTATTTTTCTGACATGAGTCTGAAACTCGGAGGTCACCCCCTTGTGACGGACTCTCCAAGACAAGGGTTGGGAGCCTGGTGTGACATATTCTCAACACTCTAGCTCGGAGGCCAGCTGTATTATGCAGACCACACCCCAGCAAAACTGCTCTGCCTTCCAAATCCAGACCTGCTGGAGCTAGTCTTGCAAACTTCCTTCTGGAAGAATGTGAAACAATCTCTTGATAGCAATTCCCTCTATGTAATTGTTTGGAAAGATCTGTTCATTCATTTAACAGATATTTTTTAAGCACCCACTATGTGACAGGCTCTCTTCTAGCTCATGAATAAAAAAGAGTTCCTACCCTCGAAAACTCACATGGGTGAAGGGAGCTGGGGAGGGGAGACGGATGAACAAATCAGAAAATGTTGGACGCAGTAAGTTCAATAAAGAAAGGAAACAGAGGTACCTTTGTTTGATGTTTGAGGTGTGGTGGGGAACTACTTCGTGCAGCAGCTAGGGGAGGCCTCAGTAGCCTTGGCTGTGCGCTTCCTAAACAAACATTATGGGAGGGAAGCAGTTCACCAGCCCCGTCATTCAGTTTACTCTGTGCTGGCCTTGAAGTTTCATGCACAGGTGTGACTCAGAAAAGGGCTCTTAATTTCGGTAGGGCCTGCTAAAAAAAAAAAAGTCTGCCCTTTGCTAATTATTTGTTGACACTGCCTCCGGAAAATGGGACAGGGAGCCCCCTCTAAAATCTGAGCAGGGGGCCCCAGATGTTAAACATTCCCGGGCTCCTGTGAGGTCTGGGTTTGCTGGGGAAGAGAGGGGCCTCTGGGTTCCCGCTTCTCACCTGATGCCTTTGGCTTGGAGGACGAGGCGGGTCCTGTGAGAACAGGGGCAGAACCTCATGCTGTAGATGCGGATCAGGCCCTCTGGGACTGGCCCTGGGGGCTGGCTTCCTGCAGAGCAGCGGTGGAGGGTGACAGGGGAAGGAGAGGCTAGTCAGCCCGGTGGGGAAGGAGCTCACTCGTTTGCCCGGATCCCAGGATGGCTGTGCGAGCTCCAAGTCCCAGAGAGGACACTGCTGCCCGTGGCTTTTCTGCGGGGAGCTCTCCAAGTCCCTCCCTGCCCCACTGGTCTTCAGGTCAAAGCCAGCAGCTCCGCCAAAGCCAACATGCCCGGTCACGCGGCGTCCCCAGCTCGTGGACTCCAAGGAGAGGACTCACCTTTCCCCAAGGCCTTGGCCGCATCCTCAGGCAGGGTCTCCAGGTGTCTGAGCATCGCCCGGCGCTCACGGTCGCCACCCGGTGGTTCGCCACCGCTGCCGCAGGCTCCAGAAACAGCTGCGCTCTGGCGTGCCCCTCCTGTCCCAAATTCAATTTTTGAACTGCTGGGTTCTGGCGGGGCAGAGGGGAGGCGATCTGGAGCAGGAACTAGGGTAATCTAACGTGGGGAGACATCGCCCCAGATTTGGAAGCCAGAAAGCAGGAGCTGGGAAAAAAAAAAAAAAAAACACCAAAGTAACACCTGAAAAGCTTCCCACTTGCTTCGAATATGTGCTTAGAGCTTTGCAGGAGCCTCATCCATATCAAGAATCCCTCAAGTGGGCATTTAAACTCCAACATGGACTTGAAGAGAGTTTAATCAAAATTGACTAGGATATCGCTGACTTTTTCTTTCCCATTCTGAATCTCTTGCATCACTAAGACAATTGGCCACACTTCTGTAAATAAGTACAGCTTTCAAAAATAGGCCGAGGCCGGGCGCGTTGGCTCACACCTGTAATCCTAGCACTTTGGGAGGCCGAGGTGGGTGGATCACCTGGGGTCAGGAGTTCAAGACCTGCATCGCCATCATGGTGAAACCCCATCTTTAAAAAAAAATACATATATATATAGTAAGGCCAAACATTCTCATGACACAGCAACTAAGAAAGAAAAAGTCATTGATGTTGAAATCTCACGTGCCCCGGAGAGTGAGTACCTCTTAGACACCTAGACATCTTTGGTGTCTAGACACCTCACATTTTGCACCCTAGACACTTGACTTGCCTCATCGCACTCCGGGCCCTACTTGTGAGTTGTTACCCAAGCTCTGAAAAACTGGCAATGAAGAAAATTAAGACACCTGGAGGCAAAGAACAATTTGTGAGCTCCCCACCTTCCCCAGCAAAAATGTTTGAGAAAACTCTTTCTAGTTGCTAAGGATACACTGCCAACAGTCCAGCCATATAGGGACCACTGGCGCAGCTTTTCCGTCTAAGTGAGATAATGGAGGTGGCTTTGGCTCTGACACTGATAAACTGAGATCCTGAATTTCAGCAGGTGAAAAAATAACTCCTTGAGTTTTCCAGGAATGAGCTGATGTGGAAATTGCTTGTAAACGCATTTTGTGGGATTAACAGGTCATGAAGGAAAGAAAAATATTTTATGTGTCTCGATCATACTGACTAAATTATTTCTGTAGATTACCTTGATTCCTACAATTGCTCAGTCAGGCAACTCATATTATTCCTACTTTTCAAAATAGAAAACAGCTTCAGAAAAATAATATTATTTGTCCAAAGTGACCAGCTAGAAGGGTTGAAGAACTTTAAAAGTCCAAAGCCTGACTCGTTGTCTTGGCCTTTAAAGCTGGTAACAGTGTTGGAAGGGAAGGATTTTAAGTCCAGAAAAAGATATAGCACATAATGGCTGCTCAACAAATGGGAGTTTAATCTAAATATCTTTTATTAAAATGACAGAACCTAATTATGTAGCTTATGAGTAGGTGCTGTTTGGCCTTTGGAGTTCCAGTCTATCCAGAACTTCCTGGTTAATAATAGTGTTAACATTTTTTGCTAGTGAATGAGAATCTTTGCAAATCTTCAGAATAGTGACTCAGCTACATTTTTTGCTGTCATTTAATGATTTCATGTGAAATAAGCTCAGATAATAATATGGAATGTACTGTCATTGTATAAGAATCAGGAAATGGCAAAAATGTTTGAATAAATGTTCTCTGAAAATAAAATGCATATATATCAGCAAGAAATTTGGAGAAGACATACTGGTTCCTGGCTTTTGTTAAGCTGACAACTTTTCATTTAGGAAGACAGAGAAAGTAATAGAGTAACTTCTACTACTTTGGAGCTAATTCTGATCAAGAAGGACAAAACTGGATGGTAAAATAGAAGCAAGAAACATAACCATGTCATGTTAAAGCTCCTGGTAAATAAAGAGATGATTTCTGGGCATACACATGTATCCCTCATATAAACAAAGTAGATTTCAAAATAGTTGACAAAAATATATTCATAGCCTAAAAAAGAAGGCCATAAGAGGAATGCAACATCTAAAAATCAAACTAAATTATTACTAATATGTATTTAGTGCTTCATGTGTAGTGACTCATTTAATTTTTTTTTTTTTTTGAGACGGAGTTTCACTCTTGTTACCCAGGCTGGAGTGCTATGTGCGATCTCGGCTCACCGCAACCTCCGCCTCCTGAGTTCAGGCAATTCTCCTGCCTCAGCCTCACGAGTAGCTGGGATTACAGGCACGCACCACCATGCCCAGCTAATTTTTTGTATTTTTAGTAGAGACGGGGTTTCCCCGTGTTGACCAGGATGGTCTCCATCTCTTGACCTTGTGATCCACCGGCCTCGGCCTCCCAAAGTGCTGGGATTACAGGCTTGAGCCACCACGCCTGGCTTAATTCTTAAAATAGTGCCATAAGTATTCTATTTTGATTCACTTAAAAGATGAGTCAACTGAGACTAGTGAGGTTAAGCACATCTCAACTAGTAAGTGCAAAAGGGAGGATTAGGAACCCTGGAAGTTTAACTCCAGGGGCAACAATCTCAACCAGAATTTTAGTCTTTATCAGTTGCAATGAACTGAATGTAAATAAGTACAGCTTTATGTACTTATGGTTGGCAACATTTTTTCATATATCAAATATTTTAGATTTTTCAGGCCATCTGGTCTCAACAACTCTATACTTGTAGTATAAAACCAGCCATAGATAATAAACAAATGGGTGTGGCCATGTTTATTTATATATATCTATTTTAATAGACTTTATTTTAAAAAGTTTTAGATTCACAGCAAAACTGAGCAGAAAGTAGAGATTTCCCATATACTCTGTGTCCCCACACAGCCACAGTCTCTTTCACGATCAATATCCCAATCAAAGAGATACACTTATTACAATCAGTGAACCCATACTGACACATTATCACCCAGCATTCATAGTTAATAATATTAGGGCTCACTCTTGGTAAATTTCATATAATTTTCACATATCACATTGTGACTGTTTTTTTTTTCCGCAACCATTTAAAAATGTAAAAAATCATTTTTAGATCTCGAGCTACACGAAAACCAACAATTGGTTCGATTTAGCCCAATGGCCCTAGTTTGCCCATCCATGGTCTCTGAACAATGGTCAAACTGGGAATTCCATTTGTAAATTAAAAGGTTCCCGGATTTACCTGTCTACTTTGCCAGAAGAGGATGATTTTCCAAGTTTTGTTTCTTCATTCCTACCTTTTAAAAGAAACTAACTCTGAGAGTTGGGAAATGTTTCTTAAAAGTGTATCTGTATGTGGGAGACCAAGTTCTGAGCGCCAAGTTAATTTGGCAGAGTTAGAAGACAGGGATGGAAACTGTTCTCCTCTAATGGCAAGCAATCTAGTGTTGAGGTTCTCAGAACAGGCTCTGGAGCCCAAAGGACTGACTTTTTGAGACCTAGCTTTGGCACTTAGGTGAGCTATCTAATCTTTTTGACTTTCACTTTCCTCACCTGCAAAATGAGAACACCAGTAATACCTACGTTATGAGTTGTAGTGAGTATTGAATCAAATCGTCCAGGGCATCATCAGTACAGTAAGAGCTCAGTATATGTCAAAGTGGATGACAAACGCTAATTAGTAAAAACACATTTTTAATAGCAGAGTGCATTCCAATTTTGTTTCCATAAAGGTGAAGCACATTGTGATTCAGTTACCAGTTTAATGCTAATTGAATGGACTGAATGCTGCAGGCTATGTTTCAGTAATGTGGTTTTTACTCTTACCTCTGAACACTGTACCTTCCCTAGAAAGAGTTTAATTATGACCTTTAAGCTTATCCCTACTTTCTTCTGAATACTCAACAGGTACTTCTTTGAAATCCTCTTTGCAAACTTTCCTTCTATGTTTTTTCATGTTTACACCTTTATTGTGCTGACTCACTCAATCATGAAACATATTGTAATTAGACCATATTAAACCTACTCCAAATCCATTTTCAGCCACCTGAAATATAATCGGATCTGTTCTGAAAATGTTTGGGTCTTTGGTCATGAGTAATTAATGACTTAAGCCTTCTAGGAAAATAATGTTACCAAAGAAGTAACTTACACTCTATTTACATGCATTTGAGAAGAGAATCTGTGGTTTGCATTTGGCAACTTTTCAAAATTTTTTGTTATGTCAGTCTCTTGATAGTAGCGGAAACTGGAGTACATTTCTCTTAATACTTTAGAAGCCTAATTTATATGAAGGATTATATTACTGGGTGTTCTCTTATTGTTCAATGAGTTCAAAAAGTGATACAAGTTAGGAAAAAGATTCTATTCTCAAATGTGCCTATATTCAGAAGAAATTTCATATTACCAACAGGGAAATCAGGGTCAAACGAAGCTTTTTAAGTATTAGATTCTGCTTCCTTATCCCTATTTCTCTTTACAACTTGGGGAATCAAAGAAAAAAAAACTTTTAAAATGAATATTTTGTGTAATGACATTTGAATAAGGCAAATTGTCAAGATCCTGAAATCAGCAAAAGTAAAATAATTTGTAAAATCAAACACAATACATTGAGTTTGGAAAAAGAACATCAACTCCTGTTAAATCCCAGGAATAATGGTGTAGTCAAAAAGATACTACCCTCTCTGAGATATGTTGGATAAAAAGAGACCGGAACAATAGCACATGTAAATTCATCTCAAGAACGGTCTTACTGTAAGACTTCAGGCTAGATTCTAATCTCTTCAACATTTATTAGCTGGGTGACCTTGGGCAAATGACAACTTTCCGGTGTATTTATATGAAACTCGTAGCTAATAGTACCAGCACATTATGTGGTTTGCAAAGGCTTCATTCAGAAATTGGATGAGAAACATTGAATGTTTAGCATGTGTCTGATACCTAGTAGGCGTTCAACATTAGCTATTACTATTTTCATGATTATTTAAATGTAGCAGGAAAGACTTCTCACAGTCATCACAAAGACAGCATATTCCTGGAAACCAAATTCCCCTGCCCGCCAGTGCGTTAAACACGTAGTACTCATGGTGTTCCATGCAAGGCTGAGAACTGGTTATCTGGGGTGGTCTCCACCTGTTTTCAGCCAAATCAGAAAAATAAGAACACCTTAATTTAAGTTAAAAGTATGCGGTTTAAAGACCTTTTCTTCGTTCTTAGGTTGCACTTTTTTGGATGTGAAATTCTTTGTTGCAACACTGGCCAAGGTTAAATGGGATTTCCCGTAAAGTGTTAGGCAGAAGTTAAAGTTGGCAATCCTATTGTGGGCCCTGAAATTCGCGTAAACCCCAAGAAACAGAATTGACCTCAAAACCCTCTTCCCTTCCAATACAATGCAGACCGAACGGACCCACCCGGTGGCGGTGAGAGGTGTCCCGCGAGGGACTTCCACGAACGCGCAAGACCAAACCGGGATTGACAACAGCAGCAAGGAGGCGGGGCCTATACGAGGCCCGCCCCTTGCACGTGATCCTACCCGCCAACAAGCCGCGGCGCCCGGAGCGTCAGCCAATCCTCAAAGCTTTGGAAGTGTTTGCCAAGTAGAGCGGCTGAGCCAATGGGCGGCCGCGTTACGGGTTGCTAGAGATCGGGATTCGCGGGTCCCGCAGGCGCTGGTGGAAGCCGGTAGTGGTTGGCTGTGGGACGCCGGCACCCGGCTGCGCACCCGAGGGGAAATCCGCCGGAAGTCACCGGCGCCTAGCGGCTCCGTAAGGCGCGCGGCTGCAGAGGCGGTCCGCAGCCGCCGGCAGCCGGGGCGTTGGTGGCCGCTGAAGGTAGGCGACAAGAGGCCTTTGTGAAGTCAAGCGGCTCTAGGTCGCCCTCCGGGTGCCGCCCCCACACCGCCTGCATCACCTGGGGCGGGGGTGGGGGACCGTTTCAAACACGGGCCTCGCGGCCCGCCCCAGCCTGGTGAATCGGAAATGCAGCGGTGAGCCATCGGTCATTATGCACCCTTCAATGTAAGAATTCGTCATTCGGAGGTTTCTCTCAATGGCGAACTCGATAATAAGTCCAGGGAACCAGACAATTGGGGCGGACCCACAGCCCCGATTCCGATGGTAAGAGCAGTGTGCTGGGTGTGATCTTTCCGCCAGCACCTTAAGGCCTCACTTAACCTCTGGACCTTAGTTGCATCATCTGTAGAATGAAATGATGCTCTCGGACCTACCTTCTCGTGGTGGTGATGTGATGATAAAAATGAAATAGCGAGAAACCCAGTGGCCTGTGGAAATGTATGGAAGATGGCATTAGTGTTTCCCAGTGGGAGATATTACTCATCGACCGTATAGGCGGAATTGACTGATGCGACCTACCAGTATTTAATTACACAAATGGAACACCACACCTAAGTGCTCAGCCTGGGATTTGATAGGAAGGATGTGAAGGGGTTAGAGACTGGGAGACCAAATAGGAATCTGCCCAGTCACCCAGCTTTGGGGTAATGTAGGTCCGGTCTTCAGTGGCAACAATAGTGAAGTTGATGATAGAAAAGAAAGAAGAAGGAATTGAAAGTTTCTCAACTAAGAAACCAGAAGACAAGAAACGAGAGAGCATCTCTTGAAATCACAACAGGGTAACCAAGTGAAAATTTCCTGTGAGCAGTTAGAAAGTTAGATTGAAGTACAGATTTTGCTAGAGATGATAATTTGGGGGTTTTCAGCATGGACTATGATAGAACCCTCAGAGTCGTTTTAGCATCCTAACACAGGAAATGTGTTTCCATTTCTGTTGGGGGGCCTTGAGACCCCCCCAGTTAGGCCGTTGATGTCAAATCAGTCAGAGAAGATGATCCCGTGCAACCAGAGCCCTTGGTAAAATAAAAGCATGTTATTATTCATATTAGTGAAAGAAAACATCAGACATAGCTTTATTGCTGACTCCTGCCCCCTTCAGAGCCCATAGTCACAGGCCTCAGGGCTGTTCTGTAAGTACAGCTCTAGGAAACCTTGCCAGTCCTTCACACTAGTGAGCAGGGCTGAGACTGTGGGATCTTCCTTCATGGCTGCCATCCACAGTTTAAGTTTTGGAGTGTGATCTACACACCTGTGGGAAGAGGAAAAAATGAAAGGCATGAGCTAGGTCATCTAGGATGACATCACAAAGTCTCCCATTTATTACTCTGCAATGTCATTTTTTTTCCCTTAAATATTTCATTTAAAATATTTTAAAATGTATGTAATCATAGAATATTCCATTTGAAAAACATTGTAAAGGTCCCTTTTTTATACAATTGAATGAGACTAAAGTGAAGTGACTTGTTCAGTTAATGTGAGAACTTGCTCAAAGAGAGAAAGTGACAACTTACTAAAATGAGATCAGGAATTTTTTTTTTTAATTTTATTTTTTTATTATAACTTTTTTTTTTTTTTTTTTTTTGAGACGGAGTTTCACTCTTGTTACCCAGGCTGGAGTGCAATGGCACGATCTCGGCTCACCGCAACCTCCGCCTCCTGGGTTCAGGCAATTCTCCTGCCTCAGCCTCCTGAGTAGCTGGGATTACAGGCACACGCCACCCATGCCCAGCTAATTTTTTGTATTTTCAGTAGAGACGGGGTTTCACCATGTTGACCAAGGATGGTCTCAATCTCTTGACCTCGTGATACACCCACCTCAGCCTCCCAAAGTGCTGGGATTACAGGCTTGAGCCACTGCGCCCAGCTAGGAATGTTTTATGTTAATTTTTTTTTTTTTTTTTTTTTTTTTTTTTGAGACGGAGTTTCGCTCTTGTTGCCCAGGCTGGAGTACAATGGCGCGATCTCGGCTCACCGCAACCTCTGTCTCCTGGGTTCAAGTGATTCTCCTGCCTCAGCCTCCTGAGTAGCTGGGATTACAGGCACACGCCACCATGCCCAGCTAATTTTTTGCATTTTTGGTAGAGATGGGGTTTTACCACATTGGCCAGGATGGTCTCTAACTCCTGACCTCAGATGATCCCCCCACCTCAGCCTCCCAAAGTACTGGGCTTACAGGTGTGAGCCACCACACCCTTCCCCTTACGGATTTTTAATCAGGAAGGAAGGAGTAAATTTTAAAGCACTTTACTACATGTCACAGAAATCCCTTGCCCCCTCCCAGTGATGGATAATAGAGTAGGTGTATGACATGCCCTGGGTAGTCCAAGACTGTCCTGTCTGCTTGTTCTCATTCTGACCAGTTGTATTAAATATTTTAATGTTTGTTAAATAAAAGAAAGGTCAGTATATGCTATTCCAACTATCATCCTAAATTATGCACAAAATATTCAAATGTCTTACTCATTTAACTTCATTGCTTCCAGCCGTTCAAACCAGGGCCAGATGAGGTAATCAATCATCGAGATAGAACTGCCACCAAAGAAGGTTGTCTTCTTATTAGTCAGAACCTGAACATTAAACAGCACAAAAGTATTTCTTATTTGTGCATGTACTAAGACTCACTAGAAAGGGAAATTAAGTAGAGCAGGTGAGAGAAGCAGTTTTTACTCTGATAATATCCAAGTTGGGTTTTGTCCATTTGATCCAAAAGCTTAATTAAGCTTTAGAATCTGTTGGTCTGGGATAAGGCACAACAACAACATAAACTGGAAAACTGAGAAAAATGAAACAAGTCACAGAGTATGAAATATTTGTAATACAAAGGACTGGTGTTCAGAATATAGAAAGGATTCCTGGGAATCATTAAGAAAAATGGCAAACAATCCTTTAGAAAAATGAGCAAGACTTGATCTTCACCAAAGATGTCCAGATGGCCAACAATCATTTGAAAAGGTGTTCAACTGTATTAGTCATTAGAGAAATGCAAATTCAAACCAAAATGCAATAACACTATACATCCATGAGAATGGCTAAAATGAACAAAGTTGGCAAGAGTTTGGAACCACTGTCGTAGAGGTGTAAATTGGTACAACCATGCTTTAAGAGTATGCATACTCTATCACCCAGCAATTCTCCTTAGAAATGTAACACATGTTCACCAAAATATAGGTATGTGAATGTTCACTGCAGCACTATTTGTAATAGCCCAAATGTGAAAATGTTTACTATCAAGAGTAGAATAGGTAAACTGTAGTATACTACACTTTGGAACACTGTATAAAGAATAGGGGAAAACTACATACAGCATAGATGAACCTCACAAACTTAATACTGCATGAAAGCAGGCAGACCCAAAAAGATGAATATTATGAGTCCACTTGTATAAAGTACAAAAAAGCCCAAACTAATATTTTGTTAGCTGATGAGGGTGCTGGTTCCATGACTGTGTTCACTTTGTGAAAATGTGTTATGTTCTTATGCTTTGGGCTCTACATTAAAAATTGCAAAATATTAATTTTTCAATATAAATGCACAGTCTCCAGCTTATGTTGGTTCAACTTAAATTTTTTCAACTTTACGATGGTACAAAAGCAATAAGCATTCAGTAGAAACAGTACTTTGAACTTTGAATTTTGCTTTTTTCCTGGGCTATGCTTTGCAGTATGATAATCTTTTTTTTTTTTTGAGAGTGAGTCTTGCTCTGTCGCCAGGCGCCAGGCTGCAGTGCAGTGGTGCTATCTCGGCTCACTGCAATCTCAGCCTCCCCGGTTCAAGCAGTTCTCTTGCCTCAGCCTCCCGAGTAGCTGGGACTACAGGGGCATGCAACCATGCCCAGCTGATTTTTATATTTTTAGTAGACACGGGGTATCACCATGTTGGCCAGGATGGTCTCGATCTCTTGACCTCGTGATCCACCTGTCTTGGCCTCCCAAAGTGCTGGGATCACAGGCATGAGCCACTGCACTCGGCAGCAGTATGATACTCTTGATGCTGGGCAGCCACACCGTCAGGAGAGTAAACAACCAGTACTCTCATGTGTACTGTGTTGCCAGCATTTTTGGATACAGGTATTAAATATTCAACACACTATAAATAGATTGAATGAATATGAGATATTCAACACACTATAAATAGGTTTTATGTTTGACAGTTTTGCCTAATTGCAGGCTAATGGAAGTTTTCTGAGCACATCTAAAGCAGGCTAGGCTAAGCTATGATGCTCTATAGGTTGGGTTTATTAAACGCATTTTCTACTTAGGATATTTTCAACTTAATGATGGGTTTATTGGATGTAACTTCATTGTAAGTGCAGAAGCATTTGTACTTAAAATATACTGGAAATAGACTGAATTAACTGCTAAACAGATGGCAATCATTTGAAAACCCAACAAATTTTATGTTTGAAATTTTTAAGAAGGCTAATTTGTTAAAGGGTTTGCCAAAGGAGGCAATTAAGAATATTATCTGGCTATTTAAACCAACACCAAACTAATTTGCCCTTTCTAAATAGCCTCCATGGTTTTTCTCAATGCATAATATGCATTTTAGATTGCTTATATCTACCTCTTGTGTTCTGTGTACAGCTAAACTAATTATCTGAAGAATATGGACCGCATCTTACTTTCCAGCTCCTACACTGTTCAGCAGA